GACAGGGTTTCTCCGTAGCTTTTTGGTTCCTGTCTTGGAACCAGCTCTTGTAGACCAGGCTGGCCTCGAACTCACAGAGATCCGCCTGCCTCTGCCTCCCGAGTGCTAGGATTAAAGGCGCGCGCCACCACCGCCCGGCTTATTTTTATATCTTTATTGTCCAAACTTCCAACAGAATGCCTGGCACATAATAGAGAACAGAATGGGGTTTTTTCCCCCTTCAATTTTATTTTTGCCTGAGATACACGTATCTTCTGTTTCCTCCACAGTGGTATTTTGGTAAGATGGTCATAAAGCTCCCTGAAATGCTCATCCAACCTTTTTGTCTATTGTGGTTTCTTAAAAGTCAAAAATCTTTAAGGTCACTACTCAGCTGAGAAAACTGAGGTTATGAATTACACTTCTAATACTTATATTTTGCTGTAGCTTGAAAAATAGCCTTCCCTGCTGTCCCCAACAATCTCTCAGCCAAGCCATGATCAACCTCATCACTTTTAGTCTTCCCTCTCTGGAGCAGAATGACCCTCACATTTCTATATTTAATTTATCCTCCCCAAAATTAGCACAACATTTGCTCCATGAACCCTTTTCCAAGGCCTCCAGTCCTTGCTGAGATCACAAAGCATCAAATTAGTGCCACCTACTTAGTACTTAATTCTGCTAACTTCCAATTGGTTTTGTTCCTTAAATGACTATTTAAACTACTACCTGCCGTGTTCTAAACCCATGTGAGTGCTGGGAGTACAGAGATTTAAGTCCTGTTACCCTAGTCATAGAAAGACAAATGTGTAGCTGGCATCACTGAAGAAATGTGATTAACCTAGCAGTAGAGAATGGGAAGATTGGCTGAATTCCTGCAGGCACTGGGTAAACTTTTGCAAAGAACAGAATTATGATTGAGGAGGTATTGAAATATGAGGAGAAGTTAGCTAAGTGGAGAGAATAAGGTGAAGTCCAGATGCGGAGAACTTGTCGAAAAGAACAAGTTCAGAACATGGTTCAATGTGGCTAGAACTCGAGAAGGGATGAAAAGAGATAATGAAATAGTATGTAAGGTTGGCTTATTTACTCATCTAGCATCAATCTAGTATCCAGGTTGTGCCAGTCACTGAATAGGGAGTGGGCACCAGAAAACCAGGACTTGGAGCCGGGCGATGGTGGCGCACGCCTTTAATCCCAGCACTCGGGAGGCAGAGGCAGGCGGATCTCTGTGAGTTCGAGACCAGCCTGGTCTACAAGAGCTAGTTCCAGGACAGGCTCCAAAGCCACAGAGAAACCCTGTCTCGAAAAACCAAAAAAAAAAAAAAAAAAAAAGCACAGAAAACCAGGACTTGGTACAATTCTTGAGCTTGAGCTTTAAGGCTATTTAGAAAGAACAATGAACTGATAAGACAAATAAGTAGAAATTTTGGTAAGCATTAAAGAGGGAGAAGACAGGGCCATAGAGAGAAGGATAGGTAGGGACTAATTTGGAGAGCCGTAAGAGGGCAGCTCCAGGGGTGATATATTTGTAAGAACTAAAAGATGGAAGGACATGGAAAAAAATGATTTAATTTGGAATTAAAGGTCTCTAAGTTGGAAAAATCTTGGCATCACAGAAGAATCAAAAGAGTCATCATAGGTTAAACATTTGTGGCTAGGATGAGTAGTTTAAGAAGAGGTCAGTAAAGTAAACAAGAGCCAAGCCTCTGCAGGCCTTATAAAAGGTGGTAATTGCATTAGAAGACTAGCTGGAGGGGCTGAGACGCTCACTAAGTAAAGTGCTTGCCATCCAAGCATGGGAACCTGATTTTACATCTCCAGGTACCCACATTAAAAAAAAAAAACTGAGCATGAGCGTACACATGTATAATCCCAGCACTTAGGAGGCAAAGAAAAGAGAACCTCTAGAATTTGCTGATGGGAAAGTCTAATCAAATTCATGAGTTCAAGGTTCATTGAGATACCCTGTCTCAAAAGTTAAGGTGGATGGTCACAAAGTGAGACATCTGATATTAATCTTGGTCCTCCATATGCCCACGTGTACACACACACACACACACACAGAGAGAGAGAGAGAGAGAGAGAGAGAGAGAGAGAGAGAGAGAGAGAGAGAATCAAGAAATGATGAAAGATTAGCAAAATGAAATCAGATTTGTGCTTCATAGAATAAATTAGGGGTAGACTGGAAGTGGAGGGGAAACAGTGGAGTCAGGCTGATCAAAAGTTCCAACATGTTTTAGCAGTGAAGGTGAAAATGGTGAAGACAGGGTCTGTTCTGCCATCTTACCCCCACCACAGGGATTAGCAGATACCGGACACACTGGAAGTGCTTCGATCAAGTAAGTTATTGTGACAGAAGCCTGAGAGCTCCTGAGTCTGTCTTCGGTGGCTCATCCTGTTCTCCCCTCCCACTTTCTGATGCCGACACAGATGCAGAGAGGCAGGCTAAAGTTAATGTTATCAAAGTCATATGCTGTTCAGTGGCAAGTGCTTTCTCCGAGTGCCAATTTCCTTTAGACTCTGCTAAGTTCTTTGAAAGTAGCTGTTCTGGTTTTCTTTCTGTTGCTGCGAAAAACACCATGACTAAAAAGAACTTGGAAGAGAAAAGATGTATTTGTCTTACACTTGTCGATCCCTGTCCATCAGTCAGGGCAGGAACTCAAACAAGCAGGTACAGATGGCGGAACCATAGAAGCAGCTGATTACTGGCTTGCTCTGCACAGCTTCCTCAGCTACCTTTCTTTTTCTTCCTTTCTTTCTTTCTTTCTTCCTTCCTTCCTTCCTACCTTTCTTTCTTCCTTCCTTTCCTCCTTCTTTCCATTCTTTCTTTCTTTAATTTTTTTCTGTTTTCTAGACAGTATTTCTTTATATAGCCCTGGCTGTCTTGAAATTCACTCTATAGACCAGACTGGCCTGGAATTCACAAAGATCTGTCTGCCTCTGCCTCCTGATGACTGTGATTAAAGGTGTATGCCACCACCACCCAGCTTCAGCTACTTTTCTTATGTTTCCTGGGCCCAACTCCCTAGAGATGTCGTCACCCACGGTGAACCAAGCCTTCTGATATTAATTTGCAATCAAGCTAATGTGATGGAGGTCAGTCCTCGGTTAAGACGGAGACTAGTCCTCGTTTGAGGGTCCCTTTCTCTCCAGGTGACTGGAGTCTGTGTCAAGTTGACAAAACCTAAGCAACACCCTAGTGAAAGACATAGCAGAGTCTCTCTAGAGAGCCAACCAGCACCTGCTCTTCTGAGATCTGGACAAAGAAACAATTCGTCATTTGGGCCTGTTCATGGCCAAAGGCAGCCAGCAGTCATCTTCAAACACTAACTTCCCAGAAGATCACAAGGATATGAATTGCAAATGCTACTTGATCTAATATATGCTTCTCACTCTGCCAAAGCAGGGCTGTAATTAACTGAAAGAGCGAGGTAAATGTTTGTGGAAGTTCCTCGCCTTCCCTTACAGCCAGGAGATGAGACAAGGGGCTCTTTATCACATTTCCATCTCCTTCCACTACTGAAATGGTTCCTTAATGAAAAGTACTAAAATAAGGCCATCTTAACTCCAGAGGGGCTTGGAGACCGTGGAGACAGAACAGCCAATCAGCTAATAGATCTAATCTCATTTTCTGCCCCTGAAGAGTACCATCATTCCCACCTCACAGGGCCAGTGCAAGCAGTCAATGAGGAATGGGAGTGAAATTGATCTGTAAATTGCAAAACAAGAGCTCTACCCTGTGATTCATTCCGTATGATTGCAGGCACAGGTGCTTTTCTTTTCTTGGTCTCTCAGAGAAAATTTAACCACATTGCCGGAGCTCAGTACAAACCTATTTAGTTTTCACCTCAGCATCAGTTCTATTAAGTGCGATCTGACCTTAGATCTGGCACAGACAAAACAGACCATTCATTTCTCAGAATTAAGTCAAATTGATTCTCCAGTCTGTTAGCTTCCGAGTTTGGTGTGGTGGCAGAAAGAAATAAGGGGTGGCTTTGAGGAGCTAGTCCAGGCTTATCTTTTGCAGATGGCTTTGTCCTGTGGAAGTCAATACTTCTCCAGTGACCATCATCGAGGAGCAGGGCTGCACTTAACACTAAACCATATATGTGTATGTGTGTGTCATATATATATATATATATATATGACATGGTCTCATGTATCCTAGGCCAGCCTTGAGCCCACTGTGAAGCCAAGGATGACCCTGAACTTCTGATTCTCTTTTCACCACCCTCTGAGTGTTGGGATTGCAGTTATGCACCCATCCAGCTCATGTGGAGTGAGCAATCAAACATAGGGTTCTGTGAATGTTAGCCAAGCATTCTACCAACTAAACTGTACTCCCAGCTCCTACAACAGCATGTCAGTCTGAAATGTGCCTCCGGGACAGTGGCAAGTATAATCTTGGAAATTAGATTGCAAAAATATCCACAAACCCGGGAGAGCAAAAGTAACTGGCCCTACGCAAGCAGCAACTTAGCAGCACTGATCATCAGTATTAAGTACTCCCGGAGATATTTTTCGACAGTGAAAAGGAAGGAAAGAACAGTGGACTTTGTGCTATATTTTAGGGGGGTTGATAATCCATAACTCCTTAAACTATCAGAGTAGCTTTTCAGGGTAGTGGCTGTTCTCTAGCATGAGATTTGGTAAGCACTAGATGATAACTGATAACTGCTAATAACATTAGTATGGATAATATTGGGAACAAATGCAGTAGAGGGTTTGAGTAACTTATCCAAGATAACAGGGCTGGTGAGTGTTAAATAACTGTTCGAGTCCAAGTCTTTCTGACCAAAGCCTGGGTTTCTGCTGCTCTGCTCCTCAGCAACAGTGAAACATTGATGTCATTGAAACGCTTCGAAATTTTGAAATCCCGTTTGAAAGGGATTGATGAGCGGCCATTTGAAACCTTCAGGTAACTAAAACTATCTTCTCTCTCTCTCTCTCTCTCTCTCTCTCTCTCTCTCTCTCTTTCTCTCTCCCTCCAAACTTAGCTTTCTAAGTTGATGTGAGCCATGGCCCAGCTGTACTACAAGAAGGTCAATTACTCACCTTACAGAGACCGCATTCCCCTGCAAATCATGAGGGCTGAGACGGAGCTCTCTGCTGAGGAGAAGGCCTTCCTTAGTGCCGTGGAGAAGGGGGACTATGGCACCGTGAAGCAGGCACTGCAGGAGGCTGAGATCTACTACAATGTCAACATCAACTGCGTGGATCCTTTGGGCAGGAACGCCCTGCTCATTGCCATCGAGAACGAGACCTTGGAGATCATGGAGCTACTGCTGAACCATAGCGTGTATGTGGGCGATGCATTGCTCTATGCCATCCGCAAGGAAGTGGTGGGCGCTGTGGAGCTTCTGCTTAGCTACAGGAAGCCCGGTAGAGAGAAGCAGGTAAGAGAATTCACACTAGGTTGGTACCAGTCAGAATATCAGGGCATCAGAGTCCAAAGGAAAGGTTTGGCAGCCTGGAATTGAGAGGGCTTGTCTTAGAAACTGTTATCAGTTGTCTCGGTAGCTTCCTTGGGCGGTCCCAGCTGTTTTACTCTTTTGCTGTGTCTCTTGGTCTTAGTTACTTATACATATTGAACACTTGACAGTGCGAAGACATGCTCTTCATGTCTAGAATATGTAAATTCTTTCCACTTTCTTTACCACCTCCCATTATATCTTCATTTCCTTCCCGTACTCAAAAGTCACATTCTAGAAAAGAGAGCAAATCCAGACCTGCGCTTTCTCCTTGAAAGGCTGTTCTTCCACAGAAAAAGGCAAGAAGACTTTATCCTTGAGTGCCGTAGTGCAAAGACGAAGAGAAACCTCACTTGTTTTCCTAGTACACGCTATGTGACTGAATTCTACTCACAGGTGTTTGCAAGTTTGCTTCCATGAATCTCATAATCTCTAAGTCACCAAAAGTTGGTATCTTTGTACAGTTATCTTTGATTTCTCAGTCAAATCTTGCCCCCATATTCAATCCCCAAGCTTCATGGTTTCTCCCTCCATCTTTCTTTCCTCTCTAAGCCAGTCCCCACTAGTATTGCCTGCTCTGTCATCACTCTCCTAGATGAGAGGGTCTCCAATTGCAGCCCCTAGACTGGCAGCAGCAGCATTTCCTGAGAACTGAGGGAAACTGCAAAGCCTTAGAGCCCCACTATAAGGGTACTAAATCATAAGCTCTGGGATGTTGCCCAATAAGCTGTGCCTTAACAGGCCCTCAGGGGGGATTCTGATGGATGCTCAGGTTTGAGAATCACTGTTCTACCCTAACATAAAAATTTTTCTCATTAGTCTTACTGCATCAATTCTTTTTGTAGATCTGAAGCCATCCTGAAGAGTCTGGTTTATCCTTTCTGAATTAGGAAAATTATCTTACTATTCTTGTCTGTCACTTTAGTACTACAATGTCTTCTATTAGTTTGTCCTCCATTGTTAGGAGGAAATGCTCGAGGTGATGTACTTTATGAAGCAGGGGTCTGTTTTACTAACCATTTTTGGAGGCTGGATGTCCAAGACAAGGTGGCTTAGCTGCCAAACCTCTGACCTTGCTTGCATTATAGCATGATAAAGAAAATGGAAAGGGAACTGGGCAAATATAGAAAGAGACAAACCAGCACCTTGATGAACATGGACAATGAAAATCTGTCATCCTCAAGCATTAGGAAATATGACCAAAGCTGGGCTTGAAGAAAATCCATAGCTTTTAATACAGATGCATTTAGGAAGAGAACAATGAAAATAAACTAAGTGACAACTCACAAAGCACTGGGATTTTCAGAGTAGAAAATGGAGGGAAAATCTGGAATGGACAGATTAACAATTCCTTGACTAAAATGCCTACATCCCCTTCTCCTTCAGCATTTATAATACCCCCAACAAAAAGAAGGATTTCATCTTTCTTGTTCCTTGTTATATCACACTACCAGAGAAAAATGCCTGATAAATGTTTACTTAATGAATGAGTAATATGTAACCAGTACTGAGCTTAGCATCTTAATATGACTTATTCATTTAATCCTCTAGGGAACTCTATAAACTGAATATTATTATTTATTACTATTATTATTATTATTATCAACATCATCATCCCTGTTTGCCAGTGAGAAACAAGATTGTTAAGTCAATTGTTTAAGATCCCACTAACTATTGGAGTTAATAGATTCTAAACCTTTTTATTTGCTAGGCTCTGATCACTCAACTAAATCAGGCTGTTGCTAAAAGTTTGGCAACAAAGGCTGGAGAGATGGCTCTTTAAGAACAAGCATTGCATGCCTTTAATCCCAGAATTTGGGAGGCAGAGGCAGGTGAATCTCTATGAGTTTAAGGTCTACAGAAGGAGTCCCGGAACAGGCTCCAAGGCTACAGAGAGACCCTATCTCAAAAAATCCAAAAGAAAAGAAAAAAAAGAAAGAAAAGAAAAGAACATGCATTGCTCTAGCAGAGGACCTGAGTTCAGTTCCCAGCACCTAAGTGGAATGCCTTGTGAGTACTTGTAACTCAGTTCCAGGATATTATTCTATGCCCCTTATTTTGGTCTCCACAGGCACCTGCACTCATTTGCACAGCCATATATAGACAGACGAACACACATAATTTAAAATGATAACCTAAGTCTTTTAAAAATTAGCAGCATCACAAGGCGCCTGAATGCACAACAGTAAAAACTGACTCAGACTCAGCACATTCAGTGAATGTCAGGGGTTTCTGGAAATGCCCATTCATGGTGTATCTGTCACACAACCTCATTGCAGCCTTGGTTCTGAACACACAATATGCACCCTCTGCATTGCACACGCTAACACTATATACAGTGACACTTCTCAGCCCAGACTGGGGACTATTGACTTATGTGAACTGCAGTGGTTTTTTTTTTGTTTGTTTGTTTTTGTTTTTGTTTTTTTATTAAGAAAAGAAGAAAAAAACAGAAACAAAAAACAAGTTTCCACCTCCTCCCAGCCTCCCATTTCCCTCTCCCTCCTCCCACCTTTCTCCCCCTCCCCCCACTCCTCTCCCCCTCCCTCTCCAGTCCAAAGAGCAGTCCCGGTTCCCTGCCCTGTGGTAAGTCCTAGGTCCTCCCCTCTCCGTCCATATCTAGGAAGGTGAACATCCAAACTGGCTAGACTTCCACAAAGCCAGCTCATTAAGTAGGATCAAAACCCCGTGCCATTGTCCTTGGCTTCTCATCAGCCCTCATTGTTCACCATGTTCAGAGAGTCCGGTTTTATCCCATGCTTTTTCGGTCACAGTCCAGCTGGCCTTGGTGAGCTCCCAGTAGATCAGCTCCACTGTCTCAGTGGGTGGGTGCACGCCTCGTGGTCCCGACTTCTTTGCTCATGTTCTCCATCCTTCTGCTCCTCATTGGGACCTTGGGAGTTCAGTCCAGTGCTCATGTGTGGGTCTCTGTCTCTATCTCTATCCATCACCAGATGAAGGTTCTATGATGATATGCAAGATATTCGTCAGTATTGCTCTAGGATAGGGTCATTTCAGATTCCCAATCCTCAGCTGCCCAAGGAACTAACTGGGAACCTCATCTTGGGGACTTGGGAGCCCCTCTAGGGTCAAATCTCTTGCCCACCCTAAAGTGGCTCCCTTAACTAAGAATTGTGGTTCCGTGCTCCCCTATCCACCTTTCCTTTATCCCAATTCTCCTGATTCCCCAAGTCCCCCCTCCTTCCCTTCTACCTTTTCTCTCCCCATCTCCCCTTACCCCCATCCCACCCCACCCCCAAGATCCTAATTTTCTCCCCGGCAATTTGGTCTACTTCCCTTAGCCAAGAGGATAACTATATGTTTTTCCTTGGGTTCACCTTCTTACTTAGCTTCTTTAGGTTCACCTATTGTAGACTCCGTGGCCCTTATTTATGGCTAGAAACCAATTATGAGCGAGTACATCCCATGTTCATCTTTTTGGGTCTGGGACACATCACTCAGGATAGTGTTTTCTATTTCCATCCATTTGCATGCAAAATTCGAGAAGTCATTGTTTTTTACCGCAGCGTAGTACTCTAGCGTGTATATATTCCATACTTTCTTCATCCATTCTTCCATTGAAGGGCATCTAGGTTGTTTCCAGGTTCTGGCTATTACAAATAATACTGCTATGAACATAGTTGAACAAATGCTTTTGTCATATGATAGGGTATCTCTTGGGTATATTCCCAGGAGTGGTATTGCTGGCTCCAGGGGTAGGTTGATCCCGAATTTCCTGAGAAACCGAAACACTGACTTCCACAGTGGTTGCACAAGATTGCATTCCCACCAGCAATGGATGAGGGTACCCGTTCCTCCACAGCCTCTCCAGCAAAGGTTATCCTTGGTGTTTTTGACTTTAGCCATTCTGACAGGTGTAAGATGATATCTCAAAGGTGTTTTGATTTGCATTTCCCTGATTGCTAAGGAAGTTGAGCACGACTTTAAGTGTCTTTTGGCCATTTGAACTTCCTCTGCTGAGAATTCTCTGTTCAGTTCAGTGCCCCATTTTTTAATTGGGTTAATTAGCATTTTAAAGTCTAGTTTCTTGAGTTCTCTATATATTTTGGAGATCAGACCTTTGTCTGTTGTGGGGTTGGTGAAGATCTTCTCCCAGTCAGTAGGTTGCCTTTGTGTCTTAGTGACTATGTCCTTTGCTTTACCGAAGCTTCTCAGTTTAAGTAGGTCCAATTTATTCAATGTTGCCCTTAATGTCTGTGCTTCTGGGGTTATACATAGGAAGCGACCTCCTGTGCCCATCTCCTGTAGGGTACTTCCCACTTTCTCTTCTATCAGGTTCAGTGTGTTCGGGCTGATATTGAGGTCTTTAATCCATTTGGACTTAAGTTTTGTGCACGGTGATAGATAAGGGTCTATTTTCATTCTTCTACAGGATGACATCCAGTTGTGCCAGCACCATTTGTTGAAGATGCTTTCTTTCTTCCATTGTATACTTTTAGCTCCTTTATCAAAAATGAGGTGTTCATAGGTTTGTGGGATAAAATCCGGGTCTTCTATACGATTCCATTGGTCGACTTCTCTGTTTTTATGCCAGTACCACACTGTTTTCATTACTGTAGCTCTGTAATAGAGTTTGAAGTCAGGGATGGTAATGCCTCCAGAAGATCCTTTATTGTATAGGATTGTTTTGGCTATCCTGGGTTTTTTGTTTTTCCATATAAAGTTGATTATTGTCTTCTCCAGATCTGTGAAGAATTTTGATGGGATCTTGATGGGGATTGCATTGAATCTATAAATTGCCTTTGGTAGAATTGCCATTTTTACTATGTTGATCCTCCCAATCCAAGAGCAAGGGAGGTCCATCCATTTTTTGGTATCCTCTTCAATTTCTTTCTTCAATGCCTTAAAGTTCTTGTCAAATAGATCTTTCACTTCCTTGGTTAGATTTACCCCAAGATATTTTA